ATGCAAATGTACATATATTACGAGTTATAACAACATATTTCCGTTCAAAGGCTCATCTAAGCTTGCCCTGAAAAGGTATCCACACATGTCCCCATGTGGACTTCCCGCATCAGGCCTGTGTTGTTAGTACAACACTGGATCTAACAAAAAAGCTCAGGACTCTGGACGATTGGCCTCTTCATTGGCAGGCTTGGCCTTGCGATGGGCCGGAAGGGGGGTCGTATGGGTCGTGACATAGCGAAACCAGGGAACCATGAGTTATAGTTTACGTTGATGTATTTCCTTTTCTTTGCAACTAAACAAAGGAGTGTCCCACAACAGGCCTTCTTCCGGCCACCCTTGGGCTTCGTGAGCTGCACTGCCTGACGGGCATTCTCCAAGTATCCATCCCTGATTGAGCAAGCGGTCTCCAATTGTTCACGGATGTTTTTCGGCAAGAGCTCTTCGGACTCCTGTGGGCCAGGCACGGTATAAACAAGTTGGGTACGGATGATTCCCTATAGAAAGTATGGAACACTTCAATCCAACATGCATGGGATCCTCACAGTTCTGCAAGCAGGAATTGAGGGACAGGTAGGTGTCTTGAAGTTGAGTCGCAGCAAGTGACAAGGTGTCACCTCATCAAGAAAGGCAACGCATTGTCCATGGATTGATGAATCACCCGAATCCGTTCAAGCACTTTATGAACGACTCCTCAAAGCATTAAAGGGCAAGGTACGAAGTGTTTCCTGATATTTCAGTCCGGCTAGCCGAACTGGCCATAGCTTGGCCTGACCAAGATCCTTGAGCATCACCGGTAGCAGCCATTTCAATGCTGCTAATGGCTGGGTTTCGATAGGTGGCATCTCCTTCCTGGGAAATGAAGTCGGACATACAGGTTGAACGATTGTCTATGCATATTGAACTCTATATGTCTTATTTCGAAGTTAGGCCGACACCCAAGTCTGTCCGGACATCATTGCTGAAAAGTTTCGCTGGCTTCCTTTTGGGCGCTGGAGGTGGAGGAGGAGGAGGAGGGATTCCCATGGCGGCACCATCCTCCTCAAGATTCAAGCCATCCATTTTGCCCGCGGCTTGGAGAAGTTTAGCTGCAGCCTGCAAAAGCTTTATGAATGTAGAAACGTGGGCAAATGAAACATTGTTTGGTATAAAGCTGCGTGCATAGAGAACAACAGGTTCAGCCTCCCCACCATTTGTCACTTTCATCACATTCGCGACGGTCGTCGTGAGTGCTGACTCCTCCTCCGTTTTCTGCCCTAAATCAACACACACCTGAGATAGGCAGAGTGGAAAACATCGTAGTGCCGTGTATGCATACACACAATACGGCAGCGCCCCAAGTTTAAACAAGATACGAAGTAGGTTTTCACATTGGGATCATCAGGGTGGACGCTGACTTTGCCCTCAGCCTCCTTCTTTTGGATAATGCTATCCACAACACTCATGTCTCCACCATGAAGAGAAACCAATTGGCTTCGGATCCGCCATCCTAAGACTGACCAGTTACACAAGCCACTGCGCAAACATGACACATATGGAAGCATCGCAACCAGACCAGGGCACCAAAGTTCCTATGTGAGACTTCGCGATCAGTGTGGCTCTTCGAGCTCTCAACATGGAGCCTTTAGGCATGCGTGCACAAGCAAACGTGAACGCCTGTGTGCTTTTGTTTGCGCAAACATGTACCGATATACTGTAATTCTTGCATGAAGCTGGTGTGCAACCATGTGACATACTGAAGTCCTTCCCTGCACCAAGCCACTTCTCAAACAAAGCCGATTTGGCCGCCTCAAGATTGGGTGGATTCCCCATCTATGCGTTAGATTTGTATGCATGGTATATGCAGTAAGCATCCAAAAAGATAAATCGACAAGAAATTCGTGACACATTTGCCTTGCTGTTAGAACCCACTGCGTTCGCCCAAAGCTCAACAAACTCCGCTGGAATGGAATGCGCTTCTGGATCTCGCATTTGCCTCTCTAAACACCAGCAACACATGCATGAAACATACACTAGCGAGGCGTGCCTCTTGAACTGAGCCTGAAGAGCTTGGCGCTCATTATAGGTTTCAGGCACAATTGCCTCACGCGTGCATAAACCCAAAGCCAATACGCGCGCATATGTACATATATATCATTCCATGCCTCACACCCGGGTGCAATGGTCACACGCCGCTCAGCGTTCGCTGCCCTGTCCGGTTTGGTTGCTGGTGCTGGTGCTCGCAATGCGGATGGCCGTTTTGGCTGCTCGGTTTTGACGGCTGAGCTTGTACTTGGATTCCCTGCAGGTTGCTTCTTGCATGGCTTTGCTTTTTTCTGCAGGCGTGAAAAATGATCGGTGAGCTTGTCCCAAAGCAAGAAATGAATCAAGTCTTCTTCAGGATCTTCCTCCCCCCATTGAAACTGAGGTTCTCCGATGTCATCCCTCAGTTTTTCAATATAGGTCTGGAAGCGAGGGTCCTGTTTGCTTTCCCCTAAGAGTGTTGTAATGTCATACCCGCTGAGAGATGATACCCGTGCCCGGATGGCAACATCATATTCTTTTGTTGCGGCTGGGTCCATCAAGAATATGTCATGCTTTGTTAGGTCGTCAGTGTCTGGTGTTCGCTCTTCATTGGGTTCTGCTTTGATGTGTGAAGTGGTGCTTGAAGTGGTGCGAGGGCTTGCATTCGAGGATGGTGCTTTGGGTGTTCCTTCAGCTGCTTTGGGGATTGGTGCTGGTGATTGCGGCGGTCCCTCTGGCGGTTCGCTGGCTGGCTTGCTGGTTGGTGGTGTTGCTGCTTTGGGTGATGGCACCTTGGCTGCTACTGCTTCATCGGAAGGTGGTGCCGGTTCCCTGGTTGATGTTGCCGCTTTGGGTGATGGCGCTTTGGCTGCTACTGCTTCATCGGAAGGTGGTGCTGGTTCCCTGGGTGATGTTGCCGCTTTGGGTGATGGTGCTTTGGCTGCTGCTACTGGTGCTGGTGCACTGGTGCTGGCTGGTGATGTTGCCGCTTTGGGTGCTGGTGCTTTGGCTGCTGCTACTGCTTTACCGGAAGCTGGTGCCAGGAGTGAGCTTGGAGGAACACTTGCCGGTGCAAGGGTTAGACTTCCTGAAATAGCTGGTGCCGCAGGGGCGCCCTTGGGAGCAGCTTTTGGTGGTGGTGGTGAAGGCAGGTTGGCATATGGGCTAGCCGTTTCGCTAGGCAAGTTGTTTGTTGCTCTTGTTGGCCGGACTTTGGGAGAAGGTGCAACTTTGGTTGACGGGCGGTCTGACTCTTTCTTCTCACCATCGTCCGTGTGTTCACGCTTCATGCTTGGTACTGCAGCACGCGTTTTTGCAGCTGTGCAAGGCGAAGGACATTTTGCCTTCTTCATTTCGGGTGTGTCTAAGTCCAGCTGACGCTTTGTTGGCCGAGTTGTACCGGTCAAGGATTCAGTGCTGGTCTGCGTGCTAAACACAGCTGGCGAAATAGACCTGATCGAATAGCTAAGTCAGACATAATTACATGCATCATAATACAAAGGATCGAGCTATACAAGATAAATCCATACGTACGCACATATAAGATCCTGGCTCATTTAGAGAGAGGTGTGAGTCATGGTGACCCGACAAACCAAGAGCTTCAGGCCAACGAACGTCTGATCCCGATGATACCAAAGTCTCCTAAGCTTGGAAGGAAACACTATATTTTGGATCCGAAGAAGCCATGGACGCATGCTCACAGTTTGCTTTGTTTTGTGATTTGTGCAGTAAACCTTTTTGCATCCATGGAGCCCGTGAGTCAATAGAAGTTGACAGCGTTGGAGATGCGCGACGTGTTGTTTTAGGTGGCGGGGTGACCGTATAGTCTTCAGGCTCAACAACAGGTGCAACCTTTGTTGAACGACCGCTCACACAGTTCTCCATGAACCTTTGGAACCTCTCCGCATTGACAGAAACAAAAGGTGGAAGCGGTGGTAATGGTGGCTGTGGTTCTTGGTGTTGACAGCTTCCTTTTCCTTTCGCCTATTGAGAGTGAGACCAAAGCACAAATGCATACAAACACAATGCGAGGTGTTTGCAGTTAAAAAGAACAGTGCCTTTCCCTTGCTTGATCTTGTGTAGGTAGCCTTTTGCTTGCCCTGTCCTTTTCTTCCCTGTCATATCCCATCCAATCTCCAATGGAGGCAAAATACAAAGACAGTGGAATGTGTTTGCAAAATTTGACATATTCTATAGAACATATGTGCCTGTCCCTTGCTTGATCTTGTGTTGGTAGCCCTTTGCTTGCCATGTCCTTTTCTTCCCTGCCATAGCCCCATCCAATCCCCAATGGAGTCAAATCCCACAGTCAAACCACAGACCACCCGACACACGTATATTTCCAGGCAAGAGTGGCCATGACACGCTAGTCAAATCGTCGATGCCGGTGATGTCCACTTTGTCAACCCAAATGGCTTCCAAGGCGACAAAAAAGCTTGCCGATGCTTTCCGACGCCTTTCCGACGTGGGACCCTCAAAACGCTGGAGTTTTGAGGTACCGACGGGTTGTTTCCGACGCCTTTCCGACGCTTTCCGACGCGCATGTGGGGAGTGTCACGTTTGTGTTCCTGATGCCTTTCTGACACCTTTCTGACACAAGATTGCTTTATATATATATATATAATTATATTTTTTTTGCTATAATAGACTATCTATGGGTTTGGGAGTGTGGGCAGCGAAAGTGTGTTTTTTCCTTCTCATGGCCGGATATGAATGGCTGCTGACTTCCGAATTGGACATTTGCCCATCCCCTTTACCCTGGTTGTTTGGCCAGGGGTACCAGGGGTATATAGAGAGTTGCAAGTTGCACTCCTGCTATGGTTGGACCTTTAGTACTTTAGCAACAAGAACCACAGCACATGTATAGCAAGTCCACCAAAATGGACCCCAAAAACTTCATCTATACATGGTTCATACCCAGTTGGTTGTCCCAGCAGGGAAGCCCAATTAAAAGCTGCAATAGCTAGCTAGAAAAGACCCGTCTGGCTCAGCTCAGCTTAAGCCCCTCTTTTGGTTGATGTAGTCCACCAACCATTCTTCGCATTCTCCAAGCCTGGGTGTGAGGTAACATTGGAGGGTGTTGTTGTGTTTGCAAGAAAGGTCAGTTGAGCTTGTTCAACCAAGGGGTGTATTTCTTTTTGTGGAAGGATCAACTTTTGTATTATAACAATCTTGACCTGTTTCATCCACTCACTACAGGAATGGTGGGTATGGAAGAACATGCAAACCTGCTGTTTTAGGTTGTGGCATGGTGCCACCAAAGAGTTGCGGGTAGACATGCTTTTGAAAGCGCCAAGCTGCTTTGCATCTGCCCAATCATCAGGCGTGTAGTCCACACTGGTTGGCCACTGCGGGACCTTGGCGTGCTTCGTGAAAGCAGAGCATACCTGAGGCCGAGCCAAGATCGGTGACGCTGTCTTGGGTCCGGTCCGGGGTCACAAACACAAAGCACATAACATGCATATAGTTGAATCTTTGTTTGAGATACAGCCCGCCCAAACTTGGGAGGATAGACTTGTGTTTGCCGCAACTTCTTAGATCCTTTGAATTTCCGGCCACCCTCGGTGTTGTACTGCACTGTGGAGTCGCTTTTGTCAAACAAGGATCTGTCAAGTTTCCTGACAGTACCATACACATGCATCAGAAATCACGGCCATGCGAATCATGTGTGATTCGACTGAACCATGCACGCGCACTTAAAGCTAGAGGTGGAATCTGTCCTCCACAAATGTGAGATTGCCTCATCGTCGCTTACCAAACGGACTGGTTTCCAAGTAGGTGCACCAAACATTCCCAAGTGGGTGACCACTTGCTTGAAGTTCCGAATAGCCAATATTCTCCGAAGTCGCGGGTGCATGAACAACTCAGCTGAACACTTCAATGAATGTTTCTATTGCGGTATGATTCCTATGATGGGTGGATATTCGATGCACACTCCATTATGCAAGGAAATTAAGGCAGGAGCAAGTGACTGGGATGGGTTCTCCAATATTACATGTGCTCGCCGATGAAGACACACCAAAACAATAAGAGCCATCTGAGTCGCGTAAAAGGCATCGATATATGCATATTATAGCTATATATATAGCTATTATAGCTATAGCTAGCTAGCTATAAATGTATATACGCAAACAACCGGCATTGCTGGTTTGTGTTGATACCGACTTGGGCCACACACGCGGCTTGCCATCAGATTGGCATCGCGGACGGATTTGTACAACCTAGGTTGCAGAGAGCGTGAAAGTTGGCGACCCGCGGCTGAAGTTGGTGAAGGACTGCCAGGGCCAGTGATTGTTGGCGGTCACTTGCGACAACTTCCCAAGAGGGTCCGAGTACCACACCCAGATCGCACGACGTGGTTTTGCCGAGAAACCTGTTGCCCAAAGGGCGCTTCTCTGTTCTTCCGCTTGTCCCCCCTGTAGGCAGTGGGAACGGGAATCTCTTTGCAAATAAACATGGCATGGTATTCTAAGATGATGTACTCCCATCGATGTATGTTGTGGCATGGTTGTGGACCTATTTCTGGAACGCAACCAAGGCACTGTTGACTATAGACCACGAACTGCACTTCACACCTGCCACCATAAGACCACCTGTGGCAATGTGCATCACAGACCATAGGAATCGAATAAAGCCCTGAGGGCTCAGCACGTCCTTAGCCCGTTGTGGACAATTTGCACACGCAGGCTTTAAATAGGCCTTGCCATATTACACGCGCAACCATGTAAACAGAAATGCTTGCAGGGTTCGTCACGGCTGTCAAGTTCTATGTCCAAAGCACAGGATTTCTTCTGTTTACGGGTGAAAGCTTTTGAAATTGCTCGCTTACCAGCAAACAAGTCGACACACTGATAGCGCTCCCCCTGGAAGCTGAATGCCTTGGCTGTGCTTTTTGGAACATGCACGCCATGGACCTTTATAGCATGTTAACTGTTGTTTGCAGCATATTTATATGTACAACTAGTGCCAAGGAGCCGAGTACAAAAGATCCATCAACATCATAAGTTTGATCGGCAAAAAACCAGGTGCACATGGTCCACGAGGAGCTCTTGGGATGTGAACAAAAGGAAACTTCTTTTTGGGGGTCAACCTCAGCTCTGAGGATTGCCTTACATGCTTGATATATAAGTAACATCTTTGGACGGAAAGCTCACACATGCAAGATCATCCATGCATATGAGTAGCAAGTCGTCCCTCTTGCACATCCGCTTCTTGCGTGCTTGCTTCTTGTCCGACCAACTCTTCATGATGGCCTCATCCGCTCTCTGGGGCGATTTGTAAGTGTTGGGTGCACAACGTTGATATAGTACATATGATTGCAACTTGTTTGCATGCTGCGCGCAATAAACAACCATGGAATCTTGCAACCTAGGGGCTCTGGGGATCGTTCCGCAGCTTTGAGCGAGCGCACCGGGTTTGGGTAAAAGCGGGCTCATGATGTGAAATCTTATGCATCTATATGCGCAAAGCATGTACAGAGTTGCGCTTCTTCCCTTTGTTTCAGCATCTCTATTGCCAAAACTATATATATATACGCATGCAGTCTCTTTTGCTATGCCTTATGCATGATCCCCATACCTCACAACGGCAGGAAAAGTCTATGTACAAGACACCTGCGCAAACCCATGGTCAATTGCTGTTGATCCCACATCAACAGTCGAACTATAAATGTAGCTGATGCCACTCCACAACATAGCAGCCATGTTCAAAAGATTCCAAAGCCATCCGTAAAGCTTTGGAGCTTCAAACTACTAAGCTGTCACATGGCTAAAAGCGGGAATAGTCACCTGGGACTACCCCCAACAGGCTGACACTTGTGAACATCTTCGCACTTGTGAGAACACACGATCAAAACAATAGCATGCTAAAGCTAGCTCCATATAATCACTTAACCATCGCAACAGTCCATCACGCAAAGAAAGGCCTCACTGATCAGCCTGCTGGTCACCTTTGGCTTGCTTGTCCGCTTTGGGACGAGGGGCATAAACGAGAGGTCCAAAAAGACTTGGTGAGACGAGGTTGTGCTCTCTTAGCAACCATGAAGCGTGTTTCCCGGCGTACTGCCAATCAGAAAGCTCTCCACCCTGCTTCTTGGTTCCCAAATACGCGCGGGAGTAGACCAAGTTCAGCGGAACACCATCAGGAGCAACCGTGGAGTCCTCTGGCACGAAAAAGGTGAGTCGCATCTCCTCCTCTTTCTGGGCACGCTCAGACTTCTCATGACTGGTCTCAGACTTCCCCTGACAAGGAGCCCTTGCACGTTTCTTTGGCTCTGCCTCACTTCCCTCTGGCAAAGTCTTTTCAAGCTGCTGACCCTGCTCTGGCAAGGCCTCGCTGGGCTTGGCAGGCTCAGACTTCTCCTGACGAGGAGCCCTTGCACGTCTCTGTCGCTTTGGCTCTGGCAAAGCAAGCTGACCCTGCTCTGGCACGGCCTCGCTGGGCTCGGCAAGCTCAGACTTCCCCTGACGAGGAGCCCTTGGCTCAGACTTCCTCTGACGAGGAGCCCTTGCACGTTTCTTTGGCTTTGGCTCTGGCAAAACCTCTTCAGTCTCACGCTGTTCTGGCAAGTCTTGCTCTGCCTCACTTGGCTCTGGCAAACCCTCTTCAGTCTCAGGCTGCTCTGGGAAATCCTCAGCCGCAGCTTTTGTGTTTTGCCTCACCCGTTTTGGCTTTCTCTCTCCATGTTGCTTCCGAGCTTTCCGCTTTGGTGCGGAGCTCTCACCAGTTGCTACCTCTCGCATGACTGGTTGAGCCTTGCTCTTTGGCTTTGCTCCCAATCGCCGGCCTTTCACAGGTTGGCTTTTCTCAGAAGCATCCTCAGTCACTGGTGTGGGTTTCCTCCCACGTGGTTTACCTTGTTCGGAGTAGTTTGGGAGCGCTTCCATCTCAGGGATTTTCTGTTCATAGACCCACGCAGGAACTCCCACAGAAACAACCTTCGGAAGCTTGTAGTTCTTGGCGCACGGGTCGTTTGGGTCGACCGCACTATCCTGAGTTGATTTGATAGTCGTGAGGCGAAGGTTGATTAAGATAAGGACTTGCATGCATGATACATGGGACACGCGGAAAGGTAAACTCGATCGGTGATGCAGTTGAGACTCAATGAGACAGCCTGGATATAGCCTTTGCAGCAACGGATCCTGAAGTAGTGGCATCGGTCCATGTATATATATGCATGACTCAAGACCCGACAAAAAGCACAACGTGTCGCACGCACACTGTGATTCTTGATCCAGGACACCTGGGAATCATCCAGCAACTGCGAATCATCTTCGAAAGGCCGGAACTCCTCGCAAGGGGTGGAGGACGATCACAGGATATGAGTTCACAGCGCACTCAACTACAAACTCTATAATCCGCTATAGTCATTGCATTGCCGTTTGTGAGTATGCCATCACTTTCCATTTTTGGGGCTCCGTTTTGGGGGCGAATAGATCTATGTATGGGATTGTATGGGGGGCGTGTGCCATAATTTATATCGCCACCAAAACGGAAACCCGCACCAACTGCAGCGCAAAGCGTGGTTGAGCCAGGGCACCTGGGAATCCCGCGGCTGCGAATCCGGTGACTCCAACAATCGAGGCTGGTCATCCTCGCAAGCGTGGGGTGGAGGAAGATCAACAACTATATGCATGCATGAGTTCATCAACTCTGTTATATGGTATATACCATGTTTTAACGCATGTGTGGTGCATGGGTGTCCTTAGGCTTGTCATTACCATGCTCCACATCCACAAAAGCAGCTTCTGCACGATGAACGGGTTCCCCAACATTGAGCAGGGAAAGAGCTTCAAATTCCCGGCTGATACCTGTTGGCTGGTCCTTTGCGCTGCAAACTGGGCTCTCCTCAATCAAAGTACCATTAAATAAGGGCTCTTCTGCAGGGCTATCCTCATAGGTATCCACCCAGTGTTCCTCGGGGGGGTCCCTGGGCTTGGCAACAACAGCAGCTGGGGAAGGGTCCACACTTGGAGAGTCTGAGACCTCGATGAAGATGGCGTCCAGGTTCTTGGAAATTTCATTTGCCACCGGAGCTTCCACCTTGGAGCCGATGGGTTGCGGTGCGTAGGACATGTGCACCAAGAGATCAATTTCAGCCCATGCATGCAAAGACTTTTTTTGCAACCCATGCATTCCTTAGTGCATTCTAGGTAACGGGTTCAGGCTCTGCATATGGGTTGGCCATTGCTTTTGAAGGGTCGCCCAATATAGGCGCCTTGTCCCCCAACTCTGGATTTGATGGGTTGTCCAAAGAGGCATCGTTCACCTGCACATCAAACGCTGCCCGTAAAACAATATCGATCAAACAATTGAGTCATGATTTGACGCCGTGATTCACGTGTGGTACATGCCCATGCCCTGTTGCCGGCCTTGGCCACGCGCTCACCCTTCTCCGCCGACATTTGAAGTTTCTTGAACTTCCGACAGGAGGTACGTGCCTTCTTCGGATTTGGCTTGAGCACTCTGAGCAACTCACGACCCAAATCAGTGTTGGTTTTTCGCATTTGACATCTACGCCAATATCTCCTGGTGTAGCTTAACATGGAATAGACGATGTAGGCCTCCTGAGTTACACACGGTTCTTACATGTTGTATGCTTTGCGCTCAAAGTGTTGTGTATGCAGCCAAAAAGCATTGGAAGCCCATTGCTTCCGGTCTTTCTTATACCGGCACTGTGACAAGTTATAGTTTCCATCATGATCAAGTTTCCCAAATGCAAGGATCAAGTCATTGACGTTGATCTCTCCTTAACTTATGACATCTTAACACATGAGGACTCTTCACTACCATGTGCATAACACAAATACTACAGTATCGACTAAAGATAATGAAGTTAAGCCACCTTGTGGAGAAGTCTTGAACAAACCAATCAGCAAGTCAAAGTGCTTCTCCATATCCGAAAAACCAATGTTCACACTGCTCACCTCTGGAAATAGTGTATTGTCTGGTCGTTTTGTTTGCGCGCAATTGATGAAGTCATCCACCGAGAGGTTATTTTTGATCACACCTTGACACGCATGAACAATACAAGGCGGGACTCCCCCTTCAATACCTGAACTCAAACACATACTTAGCATTAAGCAAGGGGCCTGCAAATACATCTTCCATGGTCCATCCGCTCTAACACTTGAGCCCCCTCAAAACTGGCACATACAGAATCACACCGTGCACGCTGTGAACGAAAAACGACACGTCCACCCATCATCACCTAGCCAGTGTCCTCGCTTGCACCGGCCGCGAGGCATCGATGGGCATCCCACAGCGCACTAGCGGCCACAGAAAAAAAACATAGCATGCCATCGCCAAGCGCGATGCGGGTTGGATATGGTTGGATCTGGTTGGAGGTTGAATATGAGTTGTCCATCCCTCCTGGATTTTTGGTGTGGTGGGCCATGATCAGGCGTCATACGGTGAGTTGTACCACTGCTTACACTTTGATCCTTGTGGTTGCGTGTTGTGCAGCCGTCACAGATCCAACACAATGGCTGCAACATGCTGCAGCCCGGTTCCATCCATTCACTCACTTAGGCATCATGACTTTGACCCTCCCTCGGACCCTCGGACCCTCGGTTTTTTTCGGCGAGGGTCCAGGACCCTCCCTGGGAGGGTCTCAGGGCCCGGACCCTGCTATGGAGGTACGAAACCCTGCTATGGAGGGTCCCAAGATTCTTAGGGAATTATATATATATATAGGCAAGGTTGTGTCTGTAGATGCTTGGTACATCAGCTTCATCATTAGTTGCGGCCATGTCTAACATTGACACCATGACACCATACCCACTCCCCAGTCGCCGCAGTCGACCACAGTTTTGTGCTGTGTTACGGTCATGAGGCTGTCGCTCACCGACACATGTTCCGGTCGCCCCAAAGGCGCCACCCGGTTCCCCCGGTCCGTTGCTTGGGGGAGAGATCCGCATGCTTGTGGAAGCCAAGGTACTGGCCCTTTGGTGGAGAAAGCTCCAAGTAGAGGGTACTATTACCTGAAGCCATCGCCGCGAGACGCGATCAGTGATGGACATGGGAGACGACCGGCGGAGTTTTTCCCGGGTCGGTGGTGTCATGCACCGGTCACAACGGTCGGGAGTAGATACCCTAGGGCAAGAGGAGCATACATACCCTAGGGAATATTAACGTACCCTAGGGCAGTATACAACGGTATATACATGTATATACCATTTTGCTAAGATGTATATATACCCTATAAGGCTCCAAACATCTCCTCAGGTTCGGTGGTTAGACCCCCAGATCTTCCCAGAATCCAAGCACCGAATTTGAGGAGGTGGGCCAGGAGCCCAAACGGGATATAATGGAAGTGCGTCCCCATCCAGAATGTTCAGACGAGGATGTCATCCAAGGAACTCTGCGCCCATCGCACCGGTGGTTTCGCAGTAGCGAGCACCTGGGTGAGGGTTGTAGCCATGACTTCTTGAGCTAATGGTCTTCACAAAGGGTTTTAGACACGTCGTCCTCCAACTTCTTCAGGTCGTGACCTTGTTGGAGCCCTCCTTTTCGTGACCATACCTACAAGGCCTGTTTGCGACTTCGGTACCTTGAAAGAACCGGGCTGGACGTTTGAAGACCTTTTTTTTCGGTCCGTCCTTTTCGGTGCCGGGGCGGAACATGTTTAGACGAATTCTCGACATGACAGCCATGAGCACAGAAATGCTCCAGAACATATAGATAAGATTGGTGGTGTAGCTCGGTAATGGAATCTTCCTCTTGCACTACTGATCCTCTGGTCCACATGGAAGTCCTGAACCTTCTGAAGAACCAAGTCACTCCAAGAACACGAGAAGGGATCATTTTCCATGTCTGTTGTCCTCTCTTGGATTGGCCTTGGCATCACCCTCCATCCCAGGTCGCGGCGCAGCGAGCATGAGAAGAAACAGCTGCACCGTGCCAGCCATGGAGCTCCGGAGCAACGACGCTGGATGCAGTGAATTGTCCCCAAGACTTCTCCCGTGCAAAGGAATTGTGCATGGCGGTGTCAGTCTGACCGGAAGGGCCTGCCAGTGTCAGTCTGTCTATGTCTATCGCCTCCGTCAAGGGGTGAATTGCCTGTTTTGAGGTGATTCGATAGATCTGTTGCTTGCCTCATTTGGTGGGCATGAAGTGGAACCGGCCGCCAGCTCCGCCGAACGGCGCCCCAGGACCCTGGGGAGAGGGTCCACAAGGACTTCAGGAACCAATGGTTGAGTAGATCAAGAGAGGGGGGAGGATTGGAAGATGTTCTTAAAAAGCAACTCCCCTGCACCACATGGATCCATGAGAGAAGCCCCCCATGGGGATCGCATGCATCATCATGCATCCAATGAATCCGAAGGTCAACATAGGTCAACTGGGAGCTCTCGCCTCCTTTCTCGGCCCAAGAAAGACTTTTCAGATCACTTGAGTCAAAGCTCTCAGATCACCTGGCATGAAGAGGCCAGCTGTGCTTGTCTTATACTTCACCAGTTCTTACACCTGACATTGTCACATTGTCGTACTTTTGAGGTCTTGAAAACTGTTGTTTGTTGTTTGCTGAGGGCTCCCTTTTCCTCCGGCCACGGTTCCAGTGACTGGTGGACGATCATCGGCGTAACGTGCTGGAGTATAGGACCGTGCTGGTGCCGGGAAGCAATAGGCGAACGCCTTTGAGCCAAAAGGACGGGGTGTACCTTTGGTGCACCAACCGCTGGGTCATATACTTGACATAAATGACAAGGTGTATGTGACACCGCCTTTAGCATCCCTCCACACACACAAAAAACACACACACACACACAGCCAAGTCGCGGCCTCCAAAGAAACCACCATGCGGGGTCTGACCAGAAGTCCTTTCTCAGGGTCCTTCTCCGAAGGTCGGGAATTCTGACAGCCTCGGTTTTCGTGGAAAATAGATCGCATATACGTTCACTTGTTCTATGAAGATTAAGACTTATAAACATGATTTGCCACCTGTTCTATGAAGATTACCATATGGCAAAGCCCCACAAACTGTTTTTGTTTCTTCACTGATGAAAGCGGAGTGGGGGAAACCCGATGAACCCAGAAAAGGGATCTCCTTGCTGCTTCGATCTCTTCCTGGTCCACTCGCAACCTCCTCCTTCAGCCACCGATGGTCCGGACCGACGCGGAAGCTCATCGACTCAAAAGCTAAGGACTCGCTTGGAACAAGACTGGAGCTGCACGCCCCATCTGTCAAGACTTGCAATTGGTCTCCAGGCTAGTCTGGACAGATGATCCTCTTTTTCCTCCGTGGTGTGCCATTGGCAAGGTCTCCTCTCGCTGGATCCTGACCTTGCTCTAGCGACATGTCAACAAGAAGGAAAAATGGCCAAGAGCATCCGAGAGCAAGAAAGGTGGCTAGACCCTAAATCGAGAGAACAGGATCTCCACAACGGGATTGCTCTAGTCTAGGATAGTCCATCATCAACTCTTGATTAATCAAAACAAAAACACATATATATATATACTGTATATATAACCCGATGTGGGTTGTAAACCCCTTCATAATGTTCTTGATCAATCGTCTACATTGCAGGGTTTGGTGATGTTGTTCGCTGTGTCGGCATACTAATTGAAGGGATAAACCAGAAAAAACAGGCTTCATTCCAGGTGGTTTCTCCGCACCTAGACTTGGCCACTAGACTTGGACAGGGCTGACCCGCAAGAGGCTTTCCAGCACAGGCGCTGCGTTTATTGCGGCGCCAGGCTTTCCGCGCGGCTCTCTTTGTGCTGCGCAGGCGAAGAAAACAGGGCGCGCCCGAAGAAAGAGAAGCAGGAAGCCGAAATATCTCCAGTACCGTCCAGCACGATGATTCAAACAAAATGTCTAAGTTCCACAATAGGTGACTATAAATGACGATTTTTCTTCGCTGGTGTTGGCCATAGCAACGCCCCCCCCAAAAAAAGGGCGCGGACCACCCGCACTTGCTTTCTGATCGTGGTGTCGACATGGTAACGCTGGGGTGAACCTGGGTGAATCCCCGTTGTGTGACCACACTGTTTGAGGGAAGTCTATAGCACCATGAAAGTCGCACCTAGAATCATTTCTCCCTGCAAGTCTTCCAGGCACATCACTCCATCATACCCCACGCTGGAGGGTGTTGATGTTGCATCAGACCCCCGCAGCCATCGTTCAGGCGAAAAATGCTCAACGAAGGACACGCTGCAGCAGTTGAGGAGTGGTTTTCTGAGGGGTTTTCTGGGCGGTGAGTGGTTTTCTGCTAGTCAGTAGCTTTCTTACACCAAGTGAGGGGTGATAGAAAACCACTCACAGCCCACGAAGGAACTCCTGGTTGCTCAACATCCTGGCAGCCTGCCAGGACCTGCTCCTGTGTGGATGGACCGTGCCTCCACTGGTCCACCTCAAGAATCCCAAAATGTATTATACTCGACCCAAAGACATGACACATGGAATACGGAGTAATAAGGAGTTACACTAGGAGTTACCGTAATATAACTCATGCAAAGAGTCACATGACGTCATGCGACCTTAGAAGAGTTACATAGTTCTATCATGTTCCTCCAAAGGATCATTGCATTGAACAAACCACATGGCTTTTGGCACCCATTTGACCAACGAACGGTCCTCCTTCAGGCAAACCAACGGTCCTCCGTCTCGCGATGCCGGAGATTTCCGACGGCCGAGAGCCTCGAAATGCGAATTGTTCAGCGACCCGAGGTCGGTCGCAGTGGGATGCAGCGCCATCCATGTAAGCAAGGTAGTTCCATGGAGGGTAGCATCTACCAGCGGCTCTCAAACCCATGAAAAATACAGGTGTTTAACGGTTTTCACATATCAAAACAAAGTACATGTTTGTTTTTGCTAGGGAAAACCAGGCTTTTGATGGTTTGTGGATCCTAATTATTGGTTCCAGGGGGGGTATAGTTCTCTCTCTCTCTCTCTCTCTTTCTCTCTGAAACCACTTTCTTTGCACCGACATCCCCAAGGACGGCACAAGGCTACCGTGCTCAGCGCAAGGGGGTGGGACACTCGGGCGAGGTGTCCCAAAGCTTCCTGAGGAGCGAAGCTTGACGTGGTGAGGTTCCCCGCTTTGACACGTGAGTCATGAGCCGCTGTTTTTTTCTAAGACACGACGCGATGAACCAAGCTCCGACTGTTGATCCGCGACGTGGGTTTCATGATAGTTGAAAGATATGATCCACAACCTATTCAAAAGGGTTTGTCTTCCATCTTCAATCTTGGAGGTTGTGGACGCCACGTGGGTCAATTAGACTTCTATGTAGATCTATATATATATATATATATCGTGATTGGTCTGGATCGCATTTTTGCTCAGCTCAAATTAGACTGTGTAGACTGTGGACCAGTCTAGGTCATAATTCCTTTTTGAAGCCCAAGGGTTTCAGAAAGGGCTCCAAAAAGCGGATCCAACACCACCGGCTATAGTAAGTCCGTCCCTGATAGACCCTTCTTACTCTCCCTGGAACATGCAAGTGGAACAGCCTTTTTGTTTGCAGAGTTCTGGATTTGTTTCAGAGAAGACTTGAAAACAAACCAAAAAATCCTTTCAATCTCAACCACTAACATTGGCACATCAACGAGTCACCACTCATGTCCATAGTCTCTCGCGGTTCTCTATCTCTGAATGGGATTTTGTCTCCCGAAGGGATTAGTTCAAAAAACAAGCAAACATATCAATCAATAATAAGTATATATATATATATATCATATATATATATATATATCATATATATATATACATATAATAGGGTTCAACATGTGTTTTTTCCAACATCTATCAGTGTCCGTAAGGTTTCACTAGTCCTCGTCTGAGGTCTTAGACCACGTACGGGGCTGAATGGGCTTGCGCGGTTCTTGTACAATCTAAACAGCTTAGTCCAGAGGTCTTAGACCACAGGGGCTCTTAGACCACAGGGGCGCTTAGTCCAGAGGTCTTCTCTGAGGTCTAGGGCTGGTTCTCCGAGGTCTTAGACCACAGTTGACCACAGGGGCTTTCTCACCCGCTGAACACAAACCGTTTGGAAGGTCTCCCAGTGGGCAGGATGCATGTTCCTCGCGGTGCGAGTGTGGGGACCCCGGGGTCTTCCTCCGCGTCCCTGTTAGTTTCATGGAATGTAATGTAGACTCTTGATTCATAAGCCACCCCAAGCCTGACAAGGTTTTTCAACCCAACTGGGGTGGGTGCCCATTCATCAACCAAGAGAGGTGGAACGTGACCGTAAAGACTGGGGTACGCCCACTGGGCTCGGCTAGTCGGGGTTCCTCAACCTCTGTTGGATCAGTCTACCTCTTCAGCGCCCAGGTGCTCGGAGCGGACCTGGCAATCGAAGGCGCCCGGCTGGAGCTCCACCACGGTGTGCATGTCCATGTTGAGGTATGGAATCTCCTCATGAAACATGAGGGCCCCAGGCGAAAGAGGTTCAACCTCTTAGGTGCCAACATCAGTTGAGATATACGTCTTTGAGGTGGCAACAGCATTCTTTTGATGATAAGGGGGGACGAGTTTGCAGTTATAGCACCCTGATGGTTGTGAATCTAAACACTGATCGCCACAACGCTTTGTGCATCTTAGTACGTGCATAGTTCCCCTTGTGACCGTGTGTTTGAACAGGATCTTGTCTGCTACTGAGTGGGTTGGTTTGTGACCGTCTGGCAGACCGCCTGTTAGTGAGGGGACAAGCACGACAAGCCTTGGGCCCAATGTCAGCACCCAAAAAGACTGGGCCCAATGTCTCCACAGCATTGACGTATTCTCCCTCCCCATCACCTCATACCAATTCTACACATCTCTACCCTCTTCATGGGCGGGGTGCGAACTTCAATCCCTTCATGGAGGACCGGTCACGTCGATGCGGTGCCGTGCGGCGATTCATCGATGCGTTGGAAGTCCTCCATGGGCGTGCCGGTGAAGTAGGCGTACAAGCAGCGCTGCACGGCGAGGTGGGAAATGACCTGAGCGGCGGAGGGGGGCAGGAGCCGAGGATGTGAACCATCGGAGTAATAACAGTTGATGGTTAAAAGATGGAACAAGAGCAGCAGGTTCATGGACAGCACGCATCCATTTTCTCGAGAGTTTCCGAAATGATCGCAAATTCCAGCTCAGAGCTTCCCCAACATCCTAGTAGTAGCAAGAAGCTACTAGGGGCTCCTGGCATTGCTCCTAGAGGACGCTACTAGGGGCTCCTGGCCTTACTACTATAGGAGCAAGGACGCTACTAGGGGGCTCCTGGCCTTATTACTATAGGAGCAAGGACGCTACTACTCCGAAACTCGAGGAACGATGTCTTCGCTCCTGCAGACCTTCTGCAGACCTTCGGGGAGAAGGTAGGCGGCTGACGAAGGTAGGTGGGTTGCCCCTGTGTCAACACGCGATACTTAAGAGGTTTTGCCATCCAACTGGGGTGTTAATACGTGTTAATCATCAACACGTCGAGGTAGTCGATAACATGATGATTAATGATGGGGTGTCAGTCTACATGAGGTTTCTTCATGTTTCTTGCTTGGCCCAAAGCGTCGCGTCCGCGTCCGAGGCACCAAAATGGAACGCCTCTGACGCTCCAACTCGATGATGATGGGCCGCAGGCGTCCGATGACATCCTGCGCGTAAGCGCCGTCATTGGCGTCTTAGACCAGAAGAAACGGGCGTGCTTTACACCGAATAACACCGATTCTTTTCAGGTTTCAAGTCGGTATAGTGGAATAGATGGCACAAATGTCCAAGTTGGGTGGTTTATACGGGACCCATCTAAAGAAATTATTTAAAAAAAAAACATCTTGGGGTGCCAGTGCCACCGAATTCACCACTGCACCCTCCCACCAACAAACATGGAAGTGGACCCGCAAGGCGGCCCAAGGGGCTAGTTTGTGAACACAACTTACAAGATTCTACAAGGACGTCCACCTAGTAGCATCCTTGCTACGTTCTCGTAGCAACTGGCCTCCACCTAGTAGCGTCCTTGTTGTTGAAGGGTTGTCAATTTATATCATCTTCGTATGTGGGACACGCCCCACATGGGGGAGCAGTTGACAAAGTAGCTCCACCCAGATCCTCATACCATCAGGTTTCATCGCATCATTGTACACGATAGATCCACGCCCAGTACGAATCCCTACGAACCCACTAGATGCCAAGAGGCACCAAGAGGGGAAAAGCCTGCTCTACTCCAAACAAATCCAACAATGAAATGTGCAAACGCACCAATTCTTAGTCTTCTGAAACCGCCGAGAAAAGCCGAGAAATAAAATGAATCAAGTAGATCATGCTGCTGGCCATATCCCAAACAATCTATGAGACTGGAAGAGTAATATGGAGTTACATACATTTGTCATCCTTTGCCGGATGTAAATAACTTATTTATCACCATTTTATTCTCATCAACATTCACTAGGAGGGGTTGTGTCATTTTATAGATGCAATGTGGCTGGCACCACCTAAAACACTATATGAAGAGGTACCGGAAAAAATGTACTCTAATAAATTGAGTGTGACTCTGATAACATCAGTCGAGCACCATGCTAACAACCAAGATAAGCATGCTCAAAATGGTCCTGAAAAAACATGATTTTCTGAGGATCCTCATGTTTTGGGTCAGGGAATAAAAATATAGAGGAGATGTCCTGTGATCCATACATGTAGATTCAAAATATGGAAAACATGTTATAGAGGGGATTTGGGTTGATAGTTTAAACACAAAAACCTTTTTATAGAGGGCCATTCCAGTCCCAAAAGAATTGCGGAAGAACCGGGCACGCAATTTGGTGCAAAAAGGATGGGGAAATACGAAAGCTCTAGAAAATGATTATGAATGTGCTTCACCTGTTTTCGTTCATTGCAAAATCAGATGCACAGCCATTCTGTACTATGTGTTTAGGAACAGGGATCAATCAACATATTTATATATACCTCTAGAAAATGTGTGCGTGTCATGTGTGTTCTTGTGATTTTATAGTGACGCAGTCTTTGGATGCCTCAGGAGCAGTAAAGCTAGATTGGTTTGGGAATGGATTTTTGGTTTCTATATAATGCTGTTGTGCGGTGATATTTCGTTCACTACTCTTTCGCAATCTTTCTCTATATAAATGTTTGTCTTGCTGATGACCCTGTCGTCATGTGCAATCTTTATCTCTATAAAATGATTTCCTATTTGTTTATTCTCGCAAATTCTCTCTATAAAGTGTTTTCTCACCTCTGACTGCCATAATCAAATGTCACACATATATGCGCTCTATAAAAAGGAAGAATACCTGACATAGTTGTGTTATTGGTGAGTATGAAACCATTGATTTTCTATAAATATTGCAGGTCTTCATCGTTAACACACAAAAAACAAAACTGTTCCCTATTAAGAAAAAAACATTTTATACGGGCCTCAATGCCACCCATTTCATAGAGGAAATGTCAACGGGGATACTTATTTTGATACATGGATCGTGGTATAGCATAGTTAAACGAACTAGACTCTACTTGAGGGTCCCTACCATGGAGTCGTTTCAAGCCAACACCAAGCGGTGTGGCTTCAACGCGCGTTCGGACGAGAAAAAACACCTAAGGCGTCGCATGTGAGAAGGACGTCCTGATAGGACTCTCCATTTGGATACCTCAGGTCTCACGGTGAGCCCCGACTGGGTAAAATGGGCTCAACCCTGACATCTCTCTCTCTCTCTCCATCGAATCGCCCTCTCCAGGAGATTAGCCTTTGGCTAAGGCGTCATTCATTCTTGTTTCACAAATCTTCTGTCTCTTTGCTCAATGGTCCTCCTGTAAGGCAATCTAAGGGCCATTGAGAACAGGTCTGGAGAGATGGTTTCAACATGTTTCAACCATTTTCAACCCATCCCATCCAATCCCTCACCGAAGGATTGGGAGAGTGGACAAAGGAACTGGAAGTGCTTAGCTTCAGGACAGTCAACAAACAATCAAAACACATCGCAGCTCTAAAACGTTATATCTCTCTGTAGGTGTGTATATATATATACATAAATTCAAGTGTCTGTATATGTATATAAGCTACATGATGTGTATTGTATATATATATATATTCCTCGCCCAAAACAACAAAACATAACATGTACCAAGGCTGGCAAGCAAGAAACATACAAACAAACAAACAAACAAACAACCAAACAAACAAACAAACAAATCAAACAAGCAAACAAAACAAAGCAAAGCAAACCACCCCTCCCCTTTGCATAGAACTTAGACAACTCACGTGTCCGTTGCTCCCCAATCCATGCAGGAGTCTTAGTTCGATCACATCCACAACAAAGGACAACGCTAAGCATTTAAACAAACACCCAAAATCACCTCCTGGATCCCCACAACACGACTCGCGGACTCGCTCCAAAAACCACAGCCGACTCCTCTCGCACGAGTTCGGCCGGGAGCTGGGCCCAGCACTGCTCATGAGCACAAAGCAACGCCATGCACCAACGCCATTCAACAGCACCCCCTCCACTGTGAGCAGTCGCCCAACATGAAAAAAACACCTGGAACCTGAATGACCTTTATTTGGGACCACCAACCACCCAAAATATGGTCTTTTCTACAACAAAGGTCATGTCTGGGTTCGTCATGTCTGCGGTTCTCCAACGCTTTGGGCCCATCAGCGGGTGGTCCGAGGCGCCGGAAGTTGAGCTTGTCCCGCTCCCGTGCGGCCCAGAGGTCTGGGTAGTCGCGCTTGATCCTTGGGAGGTGTGGAAGAGACGGCCGGTGTAACTGGGTGTGAGCGGAGACTGGTTGATGGCGATGGAGACTGGTGTGAGTGGTTGATGACATGACGATGTCACCAGTCGCCTTCAGGTGGTGCCAAATGTACACTTTGCATCACTGTAAGTCTCCGTGCAAGTGATGTTGAAGCGAGGGGCACGCCTTCAACAGCAAATCCATGCATCACGCATCATTCCTCACTTGGTCACACTTCTGCACCATCCACCATAACCAAGTTCACACATTGATAAATCACCCCCCATAAGAAAAGGTTGTACAATCCAATTGGGAGGTGGTATTAATATTAATAAAGATTTTGCCTTAATTATAGATCACCACTTAGATCACCCTATATCACCCTATGATTCCTCGAATATCCTCAAATCGGGCTGCAATTGATCACCGGGTCATTCCCCCCCCATCTCTCTCCCAGATCCAACGTCGCTCAGCCCGGGTGCTCCGCATAGCTCAGGCCATTGCAAACGCCGCCGTCCAACTCGTTGAGGAGGGAACTGCTCATGGCCTGGAACCACAGCGACTCGCGACCACCGGCTTCAAAAGCCCCACGAGAAGCGGGAAGGAGTTCGGCCAGTGATTCGTCTTATTGTGTTCTTTTTAGGAGCATAGCGCGACTTGATGGACTCTGTATGATATGACCCATATTAGGCAGCAATCTTTTTATAGGGGCATATGATGGTGCATAGGTGGACTGGTTGAAGTCGGTGTGCGTGTGACTGCCATGGCGCAGTCAGCATGAGATGATCTGTTTCACTTGGGATGAATACCACATAATACATCAGTGAACTGAAACAAAAGGTCAAACAATGGAATCCAGCAACAAACGTCCTGCAAGGTATAAGGGCTGAATTGGGTAGTCAAACGACCACATCACAATGGCGGGGGTAGCATACTTTTGTAAGACTACCCAGCCACAGTCAGCAATTGTGAGGCTCTGTGACATCCTTTGTGGGTTTTCTATTGTGTTGCTATAAAGGTGTTCGTGCGGCCGGGCAGGAAAGAAGGCCGCCTTCGTTGTGTGGGTCCTTGTGTCACGTTGTGGCTGAGAAAACCCATCCCAAAGCAGCAAACTGCAGTATTCGTGGGTCTCCGGCACCAGTTCCCAAACCAATGTGTTGCACAAAAAACGCCTCACTACAGCTTGAAGCTTTCATGGGGATCTTAAATGATCTCTATGAACGCCATGTAGGTCGTCGCAGGCGAAACGAACCATTCCACCCATCCGACCGGTCCTCAGAGCGCGCCGTTCTACGCGACCGACCGAGAACAGCCCGGCAGAACCGCCACGCGCGGTCGAGACGGAGACGGAGACGAGTCCATGCAGTCCATGCAGTGCACCAAAAGCACAAGTCACAAGTTACAAGTCTAATATCCCTAGAACTCCTGGCCTACCTCCTGAGGTGCTTGGGGTTGGTTTGGGGGGTCTAACCACCTTCTGAGGATATCGTTGGAGCCCTAGTGTATATTAAAATTACATAAACAGATCTTGAAGAAAAAGTCCCAAAAAATGAACGGGAACCACATGTCGTCACCAAGTTCATGAGAAGGCCCGGAACCCCAAAACTTCAGGGCTTTGGAAACAAAAAACGGATCTTCCCACCGCCCGGTTCCCGCGGTCGACGCCGCCCAAGCCTGGAAGCCCTTGCAGTTGACCGCTGTGGGCGGGGACGAGGCGCCTGGCCGACGTCTGAGCGTCCAAACGGGCCCCCGAGACGTGAGCCGATAATATAGGGCCGGTGGCAATCTAGTGAGAGGGGTCCTGATATGAAGAATCTGTAGGGTCTAAAGGAACACTCTCTGAACATCCTCATCTTTTTGCTAAGGTTGGGTGTCCTTTGCCACCGCCCAACTTCCGTAGGTGATATGTCCTCATATTGGGCCCATCTCCGGTCTTGTAGGCCCTCGAACCCCATCAGGAGGTGGTTGGAGCCCTAAGTTAGAAAACCCTACATCAATGTGACCAAAACGAATGGATCTTGTGGATCCAATACCTCCATCTCCACCGTCGGTGCGTCTGTGCGTGGTAAACTGGCTATTTCTGCTTCACCTATATCCAAAAGTCATGGAAAAAAAATGAAAAAAGAACACATGTCCTTTCCCACACCACTTCTGCCATCAACCTACTCCTCCTCGGGTCTTCTCGCCTACTCCTTCCTGGTTGACATCTGCCCAGCCACCCCAACGGTGCTGGACCCCCGGACTCCCCGCTTCACCTGATGCCTCTCCAGCCACTGGTCGTACATTTTTCCACCGCTACCACACCAGGTCAATGGACCGAAAGCCGATGGGATGTGCTGTCGAAGATAGGAGCGTGAACGGACGCTATGCGAAGGTGGCCAGAAGCAAGTAGCTTGGCCATCGCTACGAACGGAACAAGAAGCTCCTAGTATCATAATGCGTTCAATTTCGACATTGGCTCCAAAGTACTCTCTCATGACATGTTTGGAACCAAATTGATTGATCCCTTGAACCTTCCGCCCGACATTGATCTATATATAATATATATAACTCTCCGCCATTTTACAGGTGCGACCTCAATCCCTATGGATTGACGGATCCACCCTATTTTTGAGGGTGATTGTGACGTAGCCGTAGCGAACCTGAGAAGGTATGTGGATATTTTTCAGGGGTTAAGTAGTGTACGGTGTACGTGTGTTTCTGGGCCCAAGTTGAGTGCAGCAATGGGAGATCCTCCTCCTTTCAAGCCGCTTCAAGAAGGACTGGAGACTGGTTGAAATGAGATGAGCCACGAGATGATGAGATGAGACAGGTCCTGCCAGCGTAGGCCAGTGTTTTGGTCCAGAAGTCTCCGAGTAGCACCTTGCTTTTATCCAGTGTTTCATGACCTGGAACTGCTCGCAAAAGAATTGCCTTCCAAATACCCGTGGATTGTGAGTGTATACTTTGGGAAAGCGGGTTGACGTGTCCTTATGACCTTTTGAACATCATCTTCCCTAACCACCTCTGGCAGTTGCCATCTTTTGTTTGCAGGGTTTTCGTGCTCTTGTAGACTATTGATTGATAGAACCCCAATCCAGAATAGTGTTGCATCTCCATGTGGAGTGTATATGTGATTTGAATGAAAGCATCGACCTCGGACCTCGGCAGCCGAACCTTCGAATGGTGATGAGCACCCAGACCCACTGTGGTTTGGCTCAAGGCATGGACAAGGCACCGGACACGACAGCACAAAAGGAGTGCGGAAGGGAAGGGTTGGAGGACCGACCTTTGGTAGGTTTGAGGGTGGAAGAACCCCAAAGGGGAGGTGGGCAAGGAAGCTACCAGTGTGGTTGCTGTCGCAGCCACATTGGTAGCGGAGCCCAAAAGGGCCTGGTGAGGACACTAGGAAGCCATGGCATCGGGAAGCGACGATAAATCGTCGAATGCGATTTGGACTCTGCTGCCGTCTTTTGACCCCAGCGTTGATGATGTGAAGGAGTACATCGCCAAGGTGAGATTCCTGGAGGGCATATGCCCGAAAAAGGACAAGCCCATGCTGGCACCAAGGCTCGCTATGCTATGCAAGGGGACTGCTTAGCATCAAGTGAGACAGATCAAACCGGAAGATCTCACGAGTGCCGACCATGGGGTGAAACACCTGTTGAAGGCGCTGTCCGCCTGGGAAGAGAGTGCGGAGCTCCGCACGTTCGAGTTGTTTGAGAAAGCATTGTACAAGACCATCCAGAAGAGCGACGAGTCGACCCAATCATTTGTGAATCGTTTGGATGTTGCATTTGAAGAGGTTGGCGCCAAGACGACATTGAAGACAGTGGTGGCTTTTGTACTGTTGAAACAGAGCAGCTTGAACCACGAGGACAAGAAGAAGATTTTGACAATGACTGGAGGAAACTTTGACAAGGATTCGATTGCCAATGCAATGAGAAGCCTCTCCACGTCAGTGTTGTCAGGATCAGGAATGGAGAAGAAAAAGGTCTACCCGACCAACTATGTCGATGACGGCCAGGACATTGAGAACGAACAGCATTTTGCTGACCAGAATGCCCTGGCAATGCAAGCGGAAGAAGAAGATCTTAGTCAGGAAACCCTGGAACAGATGGCTTTAGCTGGAGACGCTGATGCAATGACAGTCCAAGCTTTCGAAAGAGAGCTTACAAACCTCTTCCAAGAGGTGCCGGATTTGCACTCGGCATTGCTGAGCTACCAGGAGGCGAGAGGCCGGATCACAGATCGAAAGAGAAACCGTGGATTCTGGCCAGTGAGGAGCCCCTCTGGTGGAAAGTCAGGCAAGGGCCTCAATGCAGCTGGATCAAAAGGCTTTCGAAAAGGCCAATCAAAGGGCAAAGACGAATTGTTGGCTCGCATAGCTAGGACCCACTGCAAACGATGCGGAGAACTTGGACATTGGAAAGCAGAGTGTCCGCTGAAGAGTCAAGCCAAGGAATCACAGGCCAATGTGGCCTCAGCCCAGGAGGCACTGGATCCAGATCTTTCAGACCAAGTTCTTTTTGAAGCAATCGCCTCCGATCCAGAGGTTGGGTTTCGTCGAAACGAAACGGACAAAACTGAAGCCAGTCAGAAAGAGTTCAGTGCATGTTCGATCAACCAGCCACTAAGGCAAGAGCTTTCGGCCGAGGTAAATTTTTCTGAAGCCATCATTGATAAAACCAAAGCCTTCTTTTTGCAAAGGAAACCGTGTGCGTTCTCCGTTGGCAGGACGTCGACACCGTCCAAGCAGAGTCGTCCAGCCGGGACGCCAGAAAGAAGACGTATCAATGATCCCGGACAAGCCTCAGGGTTTGAAACCAACGGCATGGCCATTTTAGATACAGGCGCCAGCCGAAGTGTCATTGGAGAGTTGCATCTCCCAAAGCTCATGAGTCAACTCCCTGAGCCAGTCCGGAGCCGTGTAAAAGAGAAAGCCAGCCGAATCGCCTTTCGTTTTGGTAACAACCAAATAGAATATAGCTACAAGCAAGTCCATATTCCCATAGATCAGGGTAAGATACGGATGTGGTTGATCGTCGAAGTTGTGCCACGTGGGACGCCGTTTCTGCTTTCGATACAAACGATGAAACGCTTAGGAACAGTGATTGACCTGCAGAGCAATTCATGTTTTTTGAGGAGCCTCAACAAAGCAGTGCAATTGTTCGAAGGTAGGACAGGTCTGTTGATGATTAGGATTCAGGACCTTTGCCAATCGAGCGAGTGCCAAAGCATTTTTGGCGCAAGCAGTGATTCGAAAGCAAATCCACAGATCTTCGAGCAAGATGCCGACACGGGGAGAAATGCTGCAAATGGTGAAGAATATGGCCGAGAATGTGGTGCATTCACTCCAGACTCTGCTCATGATTCTTTTGAATCAAGTGGCCACTCAAGTCTCGAGTCAGGAAGTTCCAATGGAACAAGCCACTATGATGAACCAGCTCATGAACGAGGTTCAGTCTCAGAAGGAGAAAATCGAGGAGCTGGCCGAAATGATGAAGAATCAAGCACTGTCGCCAAGTCGCCGAGACGAGGCATTCACACTGCTGACAGAGAGCGATCTGGAAGTGTGGGACCAGGAGGTCCGAGTCTATCAACAACCCCAAGCAGCAAAGGCATCGCCAATGACTCACGGTGTGTCAACGACGCCAATGACATCCCCACCAAATCGAGGACGATCGACGGCAGCCGGGAAAGGAAGCTTCCTTGCCCCTCAGACAAAGAGTCGGGTGGTTGGAATGGCCACCATGCTGGAGAGGACCGCCCCAGAGACACCACCACATGGGAGCCCATCAAGTGGAGCCGAGCCAATGGGCAGTCAGCCCAACCAAAGCCTCGCTTGGACAACCACGGCAATGGAGCAGTGGGGATTGAAGCGTGTGACCTGGGGAAAGAAACACCCTGGGAAAACATACCAGGCAGTCTACGAACAAGACAGCCAGTATGTGAGTTGGTGTTTAAGCCGCATCAATTCATTGGACGCTCAGATCGGCGATTTCGCTCGTTACTGCCAAACACGGCAACAGATGGAGCAACAGCTGCACCAAAGCCAGGGGTTGATCTAGGTAAGGAAGGGAATTGGGAAACCCTGATATCAGATAGTCAAATAATTGTCGAAACAGCCTTCGAAGCCAAGCTCATTCAAGCAGCCAAGTCAGCAGAAGTAGGAAAAGCATTTGGAAAGCCCATTGATTTGCTTGAGGTGTATGCGCAACCAAACAGCCGATTAGCAGAAGAGGTTCGCAAACAAGGGGGTAGATCAGAACGGTTCACCAAGGAGCATGGAGACCTGGCAACCTTTCAAGGCCAGTTGCAGCTGATCAGAATGATCATTAGGTTGCGACCGAAACACATCTGGGTAGCTCCAGAATGCTTTCCATGGTGCGCATGGAATCGTTTCAATGCCGGAAGAAGCACTCACTTGTTTGAGAAGATTCAAAGAAATCGTGAACTATCCAAACAACATTTGGAACTGTGCACACTCATTTGCAAGATTCAGGTACAACAACAGAGACATTTCACAGCTGAGAACCCAGGAACATCGGATATATGGAAACAACCTGAACTTGAGCCACTACTAGCACTGACAAAGACAGTTCAGTTAGATCAATGTAGGTTTGGACTCATTCACCCCGAAGATGACAGACCCCTAAAGAAGCATACTCGTTTGCAAACCACCTCCGACCAAATAGTCAAGGACCTTGATGGACGGTATTGCAAGCAAAACCATGAA